CCTTCACCTGCACTGTGGCCCACCCGGCCAGTAAGACCAAGGTGGACAAGCAAGGTGAGAGGACGGGCCTCAGAGAGGGTGTCCACTGGGAGACAGGCCAGGTCAGCTGGCCACCTGGACCCCAGGGCACAGGGGAAGCACCGCTGTCTCCCCCACATGAAGGTCTCCCAATTCGGGAAGGGGGTCCTCTGGGTGTTGCTGCCTGGTCCACTGTGAGCACAGGCGGCTTACCCCCACTCCAGTCCCTGGTCTGAGAAGCCCCCAAGACCTGGCCCTCACCTACACCCACCCGAACCTGTGCCCACTCCAGATACCCAGTAATGCCCAGTCTGCTCTCTCTGCAGTAAAGCCCAAACCAAATGGCATTGGCGGCTCCTGTAAGGAATGTCCCAAATGTCCAGGTGAGTCAGCAGGATCTTGCACTCCACCCCAAGCAGATGGCCAACATCCAGGCACAGCCTGGTGGGGGGAATGGATGTTCAAGAGGAAGCCCACCCACGTGCTGACACCTGCATTCTGTCTCCCTTACTAGTCCCTGAAACGCTGGGAGGACCTTCGGTCTTCATCTTCCCCCCCAAACCCAAGGACACCCTCTCGATTACCCGAACCCCCGAAGTCACATGCGTGGTGGTGGACCTGGAAGACCCTGAGGTCCAGATCAGCTGGTTCATGGGTGACCAGGAGGTGCACACAGCCAATACGAAGAAGCCTGAGGAGCAGTTCAACAGCACCTACCGTGTGGTCAGTGTCCTCCCCATCGTGCACCAGGACTGGCTCAAGGGGAAGGAGTTCAAATGCAAGGTCAACAGCAAAGCCCTCCCATCCCCCATCCAGAGGACCATCTCCAAGGCCAGAGGTGTGCAGCAGGGTGGGAGATGCGTGGGTGGGGGGTGCATGGAGTGTTGAGTGGGGCTTTGCAGAGCAAGCGCAGCCCTCCACCCTGTGAGTGACCATCTGTGCTGACTTTGATCCCACAGGGCAGGCCCATCAGCCCAATGTGTACGTCCTGCCCCCATCCCGGGACGAGATGAACAAGAACACAGTCAGCGTGACCTGCCTGGTCAAAGACTTCTACCCATCTGAGGTTGATGTCGAGTGGCAGAGCAATGGCCAGCAGATGCCAGAAAGCAGTATCCGAACAACCCCACCCCAGCTGGATGCAGATGGGACCTACTTCCTCTACAGCAAGCTCTCAGTGGACAAGAACCGATGGCAGCGGGGAGAGGTCATCACGTGTGTGGTCATGCATGAAGCTCTAC